TGTGACGTAGGGAGCAGTGTCTGTGTGACGTAGGGAGCAGTGTCTGTGTGACGTAGGGAGCAGTGTCTGTGTGACGTAGGGAGCAGTGGTCTGTGTGACGTAGGGAGCAGTGTCTGTGTGACGTAGGGAGCAGTGTCTGTGTGACGTAGGGAGCAGTGTCTGTGTGACGTAGGGAGCAGTGTCTGTGTGACGTAGGGAGCAGTGTCTGTGTGACGTAGGGAGCAGTGTGTCTGTGTGACGTAGGGAGCAGTGTCTGTGTGACGTAGGGAGCAGTGTCTGTGTGACGTAGGGAGCAGTGTCTGTGTGACGTAGGGAGCAGTGTCTGTGTGACGTAGGGAGCAGTGTCTGTGTGACGTAGGGAGCAGTGTCTGTGTGATGTAGGGAGCAGTGTCTGTGTGACGTAGGGAGCAGTGTGTCTGTGTGACGTAGGGAGCAGTGTGTCTGTGTGACGTAGGGAGCAGTGTCTGTGTGACGTAGGGAGCAGTGTCTGTGTGACGTAGGGAGCAGTGTCTGTGTGACGTAGGGAGCAGTGTCTGTGTGACGTAGGGAGCAGTGTCTGTGTGACGTAGGGAGCAGTGTCTGTGTGACGTAGGGAGCAGTGTCTGTGTGACGTAGGGAGCAGTGTGTGTCTGTGTGACGTAGGGAGCAGTGTCTGTGTGACGTAGGGAGCAGTGTCTGTGTGACGTAGGGAGCAGTGTCTGTGTGACGTAGGGAGCAGTGTCTGTGTGACGTAGGGAGCAGTGTCTGTGACGTAGGGAGCAGTGTCTGTGACGTAGGGAGCAGTGTGTCTGTGTGACGTAGGGAGCAGTGTCTGTGTGACGTAGGGAGCAGTGTCTGTGACGTAGGAGCGTGTCTGTGACGTAGGGAGCAGTGTGTCTGTGTGACGTAGGGAGCAGTGTCTGTGTGACGTAGGGAGCAGTGTCTGTGTGACGTAGGGAGCAGTGTCTGTGTGACGTAGGGAGCAGTGTCTGTGTGACGTAGGGAGCAGTGTCTGTGTGACGTAGGGAGCAGTGTCTGTGTGACGTAGGGAGCAGTGTCTGTGTGACGTAGGGAGCAGTGTGTCTGTGTGACGTAGGGAGCAGTGTCTGTGTGACGTAGGGAGCAGTGTCTGTGTGACGTAGGGAGCAGTGTCTGTGTGACGTAGGGAGCAGTGTGTCTGTGTGACGTAGGGAGCAGTGTGTCTGTGTGACGTAGGGAGCAGTGTCTGTGACGTAGGGAGCAGTGTCTGTGTGACGTAGGGAGCAGTGCAAAGGAACAATATATTTACTACATTATTATACGTGTTGATATATGCTGTAGTCCTTGGTTTTAAGTGTTTGTTAAAGTGATTGCAGTTTGTCAGAAAGAGAGAGAGAGAGGTACTTGATTTGAAAAAAACGACGCAAGCTCCTCCCCCTTCTTTTCTGATTGGTCAAACCTACGTTTCCGTAACACATTTAAATGTTAATCAGAGAACACATTATACATATACATTATTAATACACATGCACATTATTAATACACATGCACGTTTTCATGAAAAAAATAATGTTTTTATGCACCAAAAAGCGATCGCGGCAAACCAGGAAGAAGCTAATTGCACATTTTAGGAACATCTGCAGAGGATCTGATTATGGATATAGGTTCAGTATATAAATGATTATGGATATAGGTTCATATATAAATGATTATGGATATAGGTTCAGTATATAAATGATTATGGATATAGGTTCAGTATATAAATGATTATGGATATAGGTTCAGTATATAAATGATTATGGATATAGGTTCAGTATATAAATGATTATGGATATAGGTTCAGTATATAAATGATTATGGATATAGGTTCATATATAAATGATTATGGATATAGGTTCAGTATATAAATGATTATGGATATAGATTCAGTATATAAATGATTATGGATATAGGTTCAGTATATAAATGATTATGGATATAGGTTCAGTATATAAATGACTATGGATATAGGTTCAGTATATAAATGATTATGGATATAGGTTCAGTATATAAATGATTATGGATATAGGTTCAGTATATAAATGATTATGGATATAGGTTCAGTATATAAATATGATATGATTATGGATTAGGATCAGTATATAAATGATTATGGATATAGGTTCAGTATATATATAATGATTATGGATATAGGTTCATATATAAATGATTATGGATATAGGTTCATATATAAATGATTATGGATATAGGTTCATATATAAATGATTATGGATATAGGTTCAGTATATAAATGATTATGGATATAGGTTCAGTTATATAAATGATTATGGATATAGGTTCATATATAAATGATTATGGATATAGGTTCATATATAAATGATTATGGATATAGGTTCATATATAAATGATTATGGATATAGGTTCATATATAAATGATTATGGATATAGGTTCATATATAAATGATTATGGATATAGGTTCAGTATATAAATGATTATGGATATAGGTTCATATATTGGATATAGGTCATATATAATGATTATGGATATAGGTTCATATATAAATGATTATGGATATAGGTTCATATATAATATTATGGATATGTTCATATATAATGATATATTCAAATGATTATGGATATAGGTTCATATATAAATGATTATGGATATAGGTTCATATATAAATGATTATGGATATAGGTTCATATATAAATGATTATGGATATAGGTTCATATATAAATGATTATGGATATAGGTTCAGTATATAAATGATTATGGATATGGTTCATATAGGTTCATATAAATGAATGGATATAGATTATGGATATAGGTTCAGTATATAAATGATTATGGATATAGGTTCATATATAAATGATTATGGATATAGGTTCATATATAAATGATTATGGATATAGGTTCATATATAAATGATTATGGATATAGGTTCATATATAAATGATTATGGATATAGGTTCATATATAAATGATTATGGATATAGGTTCATATATAAATGATTATGGATATAGGTTCAGTATATAAATGATTATGGATATAGGTTCATATATAAATGATTATGGATATAGGTTCATATATAAATGATTATGGATATAGGTTCAGTATATAAATGATTATGGATATAGGTTCAGTATATAAATGATTATGGATATAGGTTCATATATAATAGAGGCTTGATTCGGAGGCTCCGCTAAAACAAACAACTGAGCATGAGCAGCTACGAGCATCAGCTCCGATGATTGACAGCCCTTGGCATGACTCGATTGGTTAACCTCGACGGCACCGTGGATTCTGAGCTATAGCTAAGAGAAGGGAAGGTGGGACTTGCCCGTAATATTAGAATTTATAAAATGACATATTTTATATCAACATTTAAGGCCAGGAGGTCAATTTAACACATTTCAATTTCCTAAAATTTGGAATTCATTTAGAGTTACAGACTATCACTTTAATGACAATGATTGTTAACAAATGTGTGTCATTTTGCTTCATGTATTGAATTGAAATAATTGTTTCCTGATCTTAAATTTGCTGTTTATTGCGTAATTGACTCTCTCAAGTTCTATTCTCTCTCCACCCCTTGAATTTGCTTTCAATAAGCTTTGCCTCATCCATCGCGATGTCCTCGCACAGATCTAAGCCACAGCTCATACACACACCGCTTCTTTTATTTGAATGGTCTGAAGTTAAAACAAAGCCCTAAACATGGGCAGCTTTGCTGATAAACGTGTAACGCTAGCAGGCTAGGGCGCTGACTGCAATGTGTAACTCAGAACTACAAACGCACAGCCAGAGCTGCTGAAGCCGGTGCTCAGTGTGAATGTGGCTCAGGGTCTGTGTTTTGCTCAGTGTGAATGAGGCTCAGGGTCTGTGTTTTGCTCAGTGTGAATGTGGCTCAGGACTTGTGTTTTGCTCAGTGTGAATGAGGCTCAGGGTCTGTGTTTTGCTCAGTGTGAATGAGGCTCAGGACTTGTGTTTTTCTCAGTGTGAATGAGGCTCAGGGCCTCTGTTTTGCTCAGTGTGAATGAGGCTCAGGGCCTGTGTTTTGCTCAGTGTGAATGAGGCCCAGGGCCTGTGTTTTGCTCAGTGTGAATGACGCTCAGGGCTTGTGTTTTGCTTAGTGTGAATGGGGCTCAGGGCTTGTGTTTTGCTCAGTGTGAATGAGGCTCAGGGCTTGTGTTTTGCTCAGTGTGAATGGGGCTCAGAGCTTGTGTTTTGCTCAGTGTGAATGAGGCTCAGGGCTTGTGTTTTGCTCAGTGTGAATGAGGCTCAGGGCTGTGTTTTGCTCAGTGTGAATGAGGCTCAGGGCTTGTGTTTTGCTCAGTGTGAATGAGGCTCAGGGCTGTGTTTTGCTCAGTGTGAATGTGGCTCAGGGCTGTGTTTTGCTCAGTGTGAATGAGGCTCAGGACTTGTGTTTTGCTCAGTGTGAATGTGGCTCAGGGCTGTGTTTTGCTCAGTGTGAATGAGGCCCAGGGCCTGTGTTTTGCTCAGTGTGAATGAGGCTCAGGGCTGTGTTTTGCTCAGTGTGAATGTGGCTCAGGGCTGTGTTTTGCTCAGTGTGAATGAGGCCCAGGGCCTGTGTTTTGCTCAGTGTGAATGACGCTCAGGGCTTGTGTTTTGCTTAGTGTGAATGGGGCTCAGGGCTTGTGTTTTGCTCAGTGTGAATGAGGCTCAGGGCTTGTGTTTTGCTCAGTGTGAATGGGGCTCAGAGCTTGTGTTTTGCTCAGTGTGAATGAGGCTCAGGGCTTGTGTTTTGCTCAGTGTGAATGAGGCTCAGGGCCTGTGTTTTGCTCAGTGTGAATGAGGCTCAGGGCTTGTGTTTTGCTCAGTGTGAATGAGGCTCAGGGCTTGTGTTTTGCTCAGTGTGAATGGGGCTCAGAGCTTGTGTTTTGCTCAGTGTGAATGAGGCCCAGGGCTGTGTTTTGCTCAGTGTGAATGAGGCTCAGGGCTGTGTTTTGCTCAGTGTGAATGAGGCTCAGGGCCTGTGTTTTGCTCAGTGTGAATGATGCTGGGGGCTTGTGTTTCAGGGACGTTCGTGAAGAAGGACTGCTCTGAGTTCCGCAGCACCTCCTGTGAACCATGTCCTGATGGTACGTACCAGGAAGAGCCGACCGGGCGGGGACAGTGTCAGCGCTGCCGCATGTGTGCTGCAGGTGAGAGAAACAATCTCACCCTCATCAGAACGGACCATGTGGAGGCTCCAGACCAGAGGTGTCTGTATTCAGCTGTTCTGGGCTTTAAGAAAAATACATAAATCTCATGAAAATTCTATAATCCAGACGGGCAAATGTACTCCCTCCATAAACTTTGGGCCATCCTTAATATTTTTGTAATTTACAGAACATATCTATCTCTTAGGCAGCACGGTGGCTGAGTGGTTAGCCCCTTCACTTCCTGGGTCCTGGGTTTAAATCCTGGTCTTTCTGAGTGGAGTTTGCATGTTCTCCCCGTGACTGAAAACTGGTCTTTCACTCTCTAGTCTCTCTCTCTCTCTGGTCTCTCTCTCTCGGGTCTCTCTCGGGTCTCTCTCTCTCGGGTCTCTCTCTGGTCTCTCTCTGGTCTCCCTCTGGTCTCTCTCTGGTCTCTCCCGCTGGTCTCTCCCTCTGGTCTCTCCCGCTGGTCTCTCCCTCTGGTCTCTCCCTCTGGTCTCCCTCTGGTCTCCCTCTGGTCTCTCCCTCTGGTCTCTCCCTCTGGTCTCCCTCTGGTCTCTCCCTCTGGTATCTCCCTCTGGTCTCTCCCTCTGGTCTCTCCCTCTGGTCTCTCCCTCTGGTCTCTCACTCTGGTCTCCCTCTGGTCTCCCTCTGGTCTCTCCCTCTGGTCTCTCCCTCTGGTCTCCCTCTGGTCTCTCCCTCTGGTCTCTCCCTCTGGTCTCTCCCGCTGGTCTCTCACTCTGGTCTCTCCCTCTGGTCTCTCCCTCTGGTCTCTCCCGCTGGTCTCTCACTCTGGTCTCTCCCGCTGGTCTCTCCCTCTGGTATCTCCCTCTGGTATCTCCCTCTGGTCTCTCCCTCTGGTCTCTCCCTCTGGTCTCTCCCGCTGGTCTCTCACTCTGGTCTCTCCCTCTGGTCTCCCTCTGGTCTCCCTCTGGTCTCCCTCTGGTCTCTCCCTCTGGTATCTCCCTCTGGTCTCTCCCGCTGGTCTCTCACTCTGGTCTCTCCCTCTGGTCTCTCCCTCTGGTCTCTCCCGCTGGTCTCTCACTCTGGTCTCTCACTCTGGTCTCTCCCGCTGGTCTCTCACTCTGGTCTCTCCCTCTGGTCTCCCTCTGGTCTCAGTTGTGTGTTTGTGGTCAGGGTCTGGTCTGAAGGTGAAGGCCCCGTGCTCCAGAACCTCTAACACTGTGTGTGAAGCAGACGAGGGACACTTCTGTCTGGGGCCCCTGGAGGACTTCAGCTGTGGGGCCTCACAGAGACACAGGCGCTGTCTGCCAGGAGAGTACATAAGGAAACCAGGTCAGACACACACAGACACACACATACACTCACACACATAGAGACACACACAGACACACACAGACACACACACACACACACACACACAAGCTGCGTTTCCATTGAGCATCAAATTTCGAAATTTGAATTTGCGCATCATAAAATGTCTAATGGAAACGCGCAAATTTCGAATAAACCACAGTTTTTCGATAAAAAGTTAATGCGCTTAAAATCGGTGGTTTTTTGGACGTATCGAAATTAAGTTTTTCGCAAAACGGCAATGGAAACACTTATTTCGATATAGCGGAGGAAGCCAGGTGTTTATAAACCCAAAACATACATCTCTGATCATCAGCTGATCGTCCACAACAGCCTGCAGGGTAATTGACGGCCACCCTTTCCTGTTAACGTAATCTCTGTAGCCATCCTTCGGGGCACGAATAGGGCTGTGTGATCCATCTATTGCTCCATAGATTTGTGGCAAGCCCTGCGCTGCGTAATTACGCATGGCAATTTCTTTTGCCTCATTCACATCTGGCAATGCGATGTATTTCTTCATTAGTTTTGTACATAACGCCTTACACACCCCATAAACACACCGATGGACTGTGGTCTTGCTCACTCCAAATGTCTCAGCCACTACTCTATACTCCGCGCAAGTAGCCAGTTTATAGATAGCAATGGCAATGCTCTGTGGGAACTGCCTCTAGGGCAGTGTGCAGCGGGAGCCACAAGCGGTCCCACCGCTTCGCACAGCTCCTCAAATGTTGTGCGCGTCATTCTGAAGTTTTGGATCCATAGTTCCTCTGTGAAATCATGTACCACGACTTCCCAAAAGGTTCTCATCCGCATCCTCTCCCAAGTATACGGAGATCGCCGCTCCATTACACTCAGAAGGAGATGCCGCCGACGCTTAATCCGGTTAAGGATGAGAGCCGCAGCAGAAGTCAAGACATTAATATATCTCACGTAAATCAAAGTGTTGTTTACTTCTGTTGCCATGTTGACGTACTAGAAACTAGTGAATAAACGCGCGAAAATAGTGTATACTTATTCGAATATGTCTTAATGGAAACGGCCGCTTTTGCGAATTACAGGTTTTTCGAATTTTGAAATGTATCGAAAAAGTTTTTGCGCATTATTCAATGGAAACGCAGCTATAGACACATTTTCCATTCTTCAAGTCTCTAGAGTCAAGGGATTTGAAATACTGCTGAATTTGTCTGTTGTGTGTACTTGTATCAGTACCTATGTGTACCTGTCTCAGTACCTGTGTGTACCTGTATCAGTACCTGTGTGTGTACCTGTGTCAGTACCTGTGTGTGTACCTGTGTCAGTACCTGTGCTCCTCTTCCTTAGGTGGTCCCTTCGCAGACACAGAGTGTGGTACCTGTGCTAATGGGAGCTTCTCTAACGGGACTCTGTCGCTCTGTCAGCCGCACACACAGTGAGTCTGACGTTTATGGCACATTACACTGATCTGACCTCTGTGAGGCCCGGACCTCTGTGACCTCTGTGAGGCCCGGACCTCTGTGACCTCTGTGACCTCTGTGACCTCTGTGAGGCCCGGACCTCTGTGACCTCTGTGAGGCCCGGACCTCTGTGACCTCTGTGAGGCCCGGACCTCTGTGACCTCTGTGACCTCTGTGACCTCTGTGAGGCCCGGACCTCTGTGACCTCTGTGAGGCCCGGACCTCTGTGACCTCTGTGAGGCCCTGACCTCTGTGACCTCTGTGAGGCCCTGACCTCTGTGACCTCTGTGAGGCCCGGACCTCTGTGACCTCTGTGAGGCCCGGACCTCTGTGACCTCTGTGAGGCCCGGACCTCTGTGACCTCTGTGAGGCCCGGACCTCTGTGACCTCTGTGAGGCCCGGACCTCTGTGACCTCTGTGAGGCCCGGACCTCTGTGATGCCCTGACCTCCGTAAGGCCCTGAAATATCGTACAGAGCAAAAGTTTGGACACATTCTGATCCAAAGAGTTTGTTATGTTCCTGATTATGAAAATAGTAGATTGACACTGAAGGCCTCAAACTTATGATGTAACTCATGTGAATTATGTTCGTAGTAAAAAAGTATGAACCAAGTAAAAATATGTGTTTTATTCTGGTTCTTAGTAGAATAAAGTAGCTCCTTTTGCTCTGATACTGCTTCACTCTTGGCATTCTCTGGATGAGCTTCAACAGGACCTGAAATGGTCTCCAACAGTCTGGAAGGAGTTCCCATGATGCTTAGCACTTGGCCCCTTCACTCTGTGGTCCAGCCCCAAAACCATCTGGACTGGGTTCAGGTCCAAAACCATCTGGACTGGGTTCAGGTCCAAAACTATCTGGACTGGGTTCAGGTCCAAAACCAATTGGACTGGGTTCAGGTCCAGTGACTGTGGAGGTCATGTGGCCCAGCACCATCACTCTCCTTATTGGTCAAACAGCCCTTTCACAGCCTGGTGTGGAGATATATATAATGCATACATACATACACACATACACACATACACACATACATACATACATGCATACACACATGCACACATACACACATGCATGCATACACACATGCACACATACATACACACATACACACATGCATGCATACACACATGCACACATACATACACACATACACACATGCATGCATACACACATGCATGCATACACACATGCATGCATACACACATGCATACATACACACATGCATACATACACACATGCATGCATACACACATGCATACATACACACATGCATACATACACACATGCATGCATACATACATACATACATACATACACACATACATACATACATACATACATACATACATACATACATACATACATACATACATACATACATACATACATACACACATGCATGCATACATACATACATACATACACACATACACACATACAAACATACATACATACATACATACATACATACATACATACACACATACATACATACCTACATACATACATACATACACACATACACACATACACACATGCATGCATACACACATGCATACATACATACACACATACACACATACATACATACATGCATACATACATACACACATACACACATGCATGCATACATGCATACATACACACATACACACATGCATGCATACATGCATGCATACACACATGCATGCATACATACATACATACACACATGCATGCATACATGCATGCATACACACATGCATGCATACATACATACATACATGCATACATGCATACACACATGCATGCATACATACACACATACACACATGCATGCATACATGCATGCATACACACATGCATGCATACATACATACATACATGCATACATACATACACACATACACACATGCATGCATACATGCATACATGCATACATACATACATACATACACACATACACACATACATACATACACACATGCATGCATACATGCATACATACATACATACATACATACATACATACATACATACATACATACATACACACACACACACACACACACACACACACACACACACACACACACACACACACACACACACACACACACACACACACACACACACACACACACACACACACACACACACACACACACACACACACACATACATACATACATACATACATACATACATACATACATACATACATACATAGCCTTGCGAAAAGCCCCCTTGAACCTTTCGCCACATTTCAGGCTTCAAACATAAAGATATAAAAATTAAATTTTTGGTCAAGAATCAACAACAAGTGGGACACAATCGTGAAGAGGAACAAATTTTATTGGATAATTTAAACTTTTTTAACAAATAAAAAACTGAAAAGTGGGGCGTGCAATATTATTCGGCCCCTTGCGCTAATACTTTGTAGCGCCACCTTTTGCTGCAATTACAGCTGCAAGTCGCTTGGGGTATGTCTCTATCAGTTTTGCACATGGAGAGACTGGAATTCTTTCCCATTCTTCCTTGCAAAACAGCTGGAGCTCAGTGAGGTTGGATGGAGAGCGTTTGTGAACAGCAGTCTTCAGCTCTTTCCACAGATTCTCGATTGGATTCAGGTCTGGACTTTGACTTGGCCATTCTAACACCTGGATACGTCTATTTGTGAACCATTCCATTGTAGATTTGGCTTTATGTTTTGGATCATTGTCCTGTTGGAAGATAAATCTCTGTCCCAGTCTCAGGTCTTTTGCAGATTCCAACAGGTTTTCTTCCAGAATGGTCCTGTATTTGGCTCCATCCATCTTCCCATCAATTTTAGCCATCTTCCCTGTCCCTGCTGAAGAAAAGCAGGCCCAAAGCATGATGCTGCCACCACCATGTTTGACAGTGGGGACGGTGTGTTCAGGGTGATGAGCTGTGTTGCTTTTATGCCAAACATATCGTTTTGCATTGTGGCCAAAAAGTTTGATTTTGGTTTCATCTGACCAGAGCACCTTCTTCCACATGTTTGGTGTGTCTCCCAGGTGGCTTGTGGCAAACTTTAAACGAGACTTTTTATGGATATCTTTGAGAAATGGCTTTCTTCTTGCCACTCTTCCATAAAGGCCAGATTTGTGCAGTGCACGACTGATTGTTGTCCTATGGACAGACTCTCCCACCTCAGCTGTAGTTATCTGCAGTTCATCCAGAGTGATCATGGGCCTCTTGGCTGCATCTTTGATCAGTCTTCTCCTTGTTTGAGATGAAAGTTTGGAGGGACGGCCGGGTCTTGGTAGATCGCTAGATAGATAGCTTGGGAAATCTTTTTGTATCCAAATCCGGCTTTAAACTTCTCCACAACAGTATCTCGGACCTGCCTGGTGTGTTCCTTTGTCTTCATGGTTCTCTCTGTGCTTTAAACAGAACCCTGAGACTATCAAAGAGCAGGTGCATTTATACGGAGACTTGATTACACACAGGTGCATTCTATTTATCATCATCAGTCATTTAACATTGGATCATTCAAAGATCCTCACTGAACTTCTGGACTGAGTTTGCTGCACTGAAAGTAAAGGGGCCCAATAATATTGCACGCCCCACTTTTCAGTTTTTTATTTGTTAAAAAAGTTTAAATCATCCAATAAATTTCATTCCACTTCACGATTGTGTCCCACTTGTTGTTAATTCATGACAAAAAATAAAATTTTATATCTTTATGTTTGAAGCCTGAAATGTGGCGAAATGTTGAAAGGTTCAAGGGGGCCGAATACTTTCGCAAGGCACTGTACATACTGTACATACACACACACACACACACACATACACACATATACATACATACACACATATACATACATACATACATACATACATATATGTATACTGTACATAGATTGATCCTCTCTCGTGCATCTGTCTTAGTCAGTGGAGATGGTTTGGACAAAAGAGAAAGATCTGGTTTCACTGGTGTCTGTGATGGTTGATGGTCTTTGTGGTGGTGTCTGTGATGGTGTCTGTGTTGATGGTGTCTGTGTTTCAGGTGTGAGCAGTTGGACAAAGTCACCGTCGCAGCAGGAACCTCTGAGTCGGACGCAGAGTGTGGAGAGAAGACCCTGGGACTGGGTCTGGTCCTGGGTCTTGGTCTTGGGATCCCAGTTGCTCTGATCCTACTGGGGGCTACAGCTTTATGTCTTTACTGTAGAAAAAACGAAGGCTGTTGTTGAAGCCAGATACAGCAGAGGGCACGGATTAGGGCCCTTTAATGATGACAGATTAGGGCCCTTTGATGATGACAGATTAGGGCCCTTTAATGATGACAGATTAGGGCCCTTTGATGATGACAGATTAGGGCCCTTTGATGATGACAGATTATGGCCCTTTAATTATGACAGATTAGGGGCCTTTAATTATGACAGATTAGGGCCCTTTAATGATGACAGATTAGGGCCCTTTAATGATGACAGATTAGACCCATTAATGATGACAGATTAGGGCCCTTTAATGATGACAGATTAGGGCCCTTTAATGATGACGGATTAGGGGCCTTTAATGATGACAGATTAGGGCCCTTTGATGATGACAGATTAGGGCCCTTTGATGATGACAGATTAGGGCCCTTTGATGATGACATATTAGGGCCCTTTGATGATGACAGATTATGGCCCTTTAATGATGACAGATTAGGGCCCTTTAATGATGACAGATTAGGGCCCTTTAATGATGACAGATTAGGGCCCTTTAATGATGACAGATTAGGGCCCTTTAATGATGACAGATTAGGGCCCTTTAATGACGACAGATTAGGGCCCTTTAGTGATGACGGATTAGGGCCCTTTAATGACGACGGATTAGGGCCCTTTAATGACGACAGATTAGGGCCCTTCAATGACGACAGATTAGGGCCCTTTAATGATGACAGATTAGGGCCCTTTAATGATGACAGATTAGGGCCCTTTAGTGATGACAGATTAGGGCCCTTTAATAATGACAGATTAGGGCCCTTTAATGATGACAGATTAGGGCCCTTTAATGATGACAGATTAGGGCCCTTTAGTGATGACAGATTAGGGCCCTTTAATTATGACAGATTAGGGCCCTTTAATGATGACAGATTAGGGCCCTTTAATGATGACAGATTAGGGCCCTTTGATGATGACAGATTAGGGCCTGTTGTAGAATTATAATGTTGTATACTAATGATTTCCAGTAGGTGTTTGCAAACATGTCTTTGTGCAATATTACAGCCTGGATTTAGTGGAATTCAGACAAGCACCAAGGACAAGGCTTCTGTGATAAAAGTATCATTTTCAGGAATAGCGTGTCTCTCTTATCGGAGAGAGGGCCTGAGACAGCAAAAGTGGACTGGCCCAGACTGGGACCAGCCTCAGACCATGTGACGTCATCAGACATTCTGATAAAACCGTTGGGAGGACACATTGTGGGAAGTTGGAGCAGAGGGAAAGATTTAGGGAATAGCTCCAGGAGTTCTGTATCAACATTTAATTGTAAAGAGAAATAAATGTACTATTGGAACTCTTGAAATCTTGGCCTTATTTCTGTATCAAACTCTGAACACGTCAGTCAAATCTTTTTTGACAACAGGCCCTTTGATGATGACAGATTATGGCCCTTTAATTATGAGAGATTAGGGCCCTTTAATGATGACAGATTAGGGCCCTTTAATGATGACGGATTAGGGCCCTTTAATGATGACAGATTAGGCCCATTAATGATGACAGATTAGGGCCCTTTAATGATGACAGATTAGGGCCCTTTAATGATGACAGATTACGGCCCTTTAATGATGACGGATTAGGGCCCTTTAATGATGACGGATTAGGGCCCTTTAATGATGACAGATTAGGGCCCTTTGATGATGACAGATTAGGGTCCTTTGATGATGACAGATTAGGGCCCTTTGATGATGACAGATTATGGCCCTTTAATTATGACAGATTAGGGGCCTTTAATTATGACAGATTAGGGCCCTTTAATGATGACAGATTAGGGCCCTTTAATGATGACAGATTAGGGCCCTTTAATGATGACAGATTAGACCCATTAATGATGACAAATTAGGGCCCTTAAATGATGACAGATTAGGGCCCTTTAATGATGACGGATTAGGGGCCTTTAATGATGACAGATTAGGGCCCTTTAATGATGACAGATTAGACCCATTAATGATGACAAATTAGGGCCCTTAAATGATGACAGATTAGGGCCCTTTAATGATGACAGATTAGGGCCCTTTAATTATGACAGATTAGGCCCATTAATGATGACAGATTAGGGCCCTTTAATGATGACAGATTAGGGCCCTTTAATGATGACAGATTACGGCCCTTTAATGATGACGGATTAGGGCCCTTAAATGATGACAGATTAGGGCCCTTTAATGATGACGGATTAGGGGCCTTTAATGATGACAGATTAGGGCCCTTTGATGATGACAGATTAGGGCCCTTTAATGATGACAGATTAGGGCCCTTTAATGATGACAGATTAGACCCATTAATGATGACAAATTAGGGCCCTTAAATGATGACAGATTAGGGCCCTTTAATGATGACGGATTAGGGGCCTTTAATGATGACAGATTAGGGCCCTTTAATGATGACAGATTAGGGCCCTTTGATGATGACAGATTAGGGCCCTTTGATTATGACAGATTAGGGCCCTTTAATGATGACAGATTAGGGCCCTTTAGTGATGACAGATTAGGGCCCTTTTATGATGACAGATTAGGGCCCTTTAATGATGACAAATTAGGGCCCTTTAATGACGACAGATTAGGGCCCTTTAGTGATGACAGATTAGGGCCCTTTAATGACGACAGATTAGGGCCCTTTAATGACGACAGATTATGGCCCTTTAATGATGACAGATTAGGGCCCTTTAATGATGACAGATTAGGGCCCTTTAGTGATGACAGATTAGGGCCTTTTAATGATGACAGATTAGGGCCCTTTAATGATGACAGATTAGGGCCCTTTAATGACGACAGATTAGGGCCCTTTAGTGATGACAGATTAGGGCCCTTTAATGATGACAGATTAGGGCCCTTTAATGATGACGGATTAGGGGCCTTTAATGATGACAGATTAGGGCCCTTTGATGATGACAGATTAGGGCCCTTTAATGATGACAGATTAGGGCCCTTTAATGATGACAGATTAGACCCATTAATGATGACAAATTAGGGCCCTTAAATGATGACAGATTAGGGCCCTTTAATGATGACGGATTAGGGGCCTTTAATGATGACAGATTAGGGCCCTTTAATGATGACAGATTAGGGCCCTTTGATGATGACAGATTAGGGCCCTTTGATTATGACAGATTAGGGCCCTTTAATGATGACAGATTAGGGCCCTTTAGTGATGACAGATTAGGGCCCTTTAATGATGACAGATTAGGGCCCTTTAATGATGACAAATTAGGGCCCTTTAATGACGACAGATTAGGGCCCTTTAGTGATGACAGATTAGGGCCCTTTAATGACGACAGATTAGGGCCCTTTAATGACGACAGATTATGGCCCTTTAATGATGACAGATTAGGGCCCTTTAATGATGACAGATTAGGGCCCTTTAGTGATGACAGATTAGGGCCCTTTAATGATGACAGATTAGGGCCCTTTAATGATGACAGATTAGGGCCCTTTAATGACGACAGATTAGGGCCCTTTAGTGATGACAGATTAGGGCCCTTTAATGATGACAGATTAGGGCCCTTTAATGATGACAGATTAGGGCCCTTTAGTGATGACAGATTAGGGCCCTTTAGTGATGACAGATTAGGGCCCTTTAATGATGACAGATTAGGGTCCTTTAATGACGACAGATTAGGGCCCTTTAGTGATGACAGATTAGGGCCCTTTAACGATGACAGATTAGGGCCCTTTTCAATAGAGCTGACATCCATCCACTTCCCCTTAATCCATTTCTGGGTCGGGGGTGGCAGTCAGAGCACCAGCCGCTCACTGATCCTCCTGCAGGTGCTGAGTCCACAGAAGCCTCGATCTTTCAGCGGGGGATTCAGGCAACGTGGGTTAAGTGTCTTGCCCAAGGACACAAGAGCAGACATCAGTGGGAGTCGGTGGAAAAGGTTCCATGGTGGGCTGGAACCCACGACCTTCTGGCTCACAGGCCAATGCTCTACCAACTGAGCCACTGTCACTATGTTAGTGTTGAGTGTTGTGTATCACTGAAATTATTATTATTATTATACCCCAGCTTTAAAGTTACAGACCCCAGCTTTAAAGTTACAACAGCTTTAAAGTTACATACCCTAGCTTTAAAGTTACATAACCCAGTTTTAAAGTTACATACCCCAGCTTTAAAGTTACAAACCCCAGCTTTAAAGTTACATACCCCAGCTTTAAAGTTACATACCCCAGCTTTAAAGTTACAACAGCTTTAAAGTTACATACCCCAGCTTTAAAGTTACAGACCCCAGCTTTAAAGTTACATACCCCAGCTTTAAAGTTACAGACCCCAGCTTTAAAGTTACAACAGCTTTAAAGTTACATAACCCAGTTTTAAAGTTACATACCCCAGCTTTAAAGTTACAGACCCCAGCTTTAAAGTTACAACAGCTTTAAAGTTACATAACCCAGTTTTAAAGTTACAGACCCCAGCTTTAAAGTTACAACAGCTTTAAAGTTACATACCCCAGCTTTAAAGTTACAGACCCCAGCTTTAAAGTTACAGACCCCAGCTTTAAAGTTACATACCCCAGCTTTAAAGTTACATACCCCAGCTTTAAAGTTACATACCCCAGCTTTAAAGTTACATACTCCAGCTTTAAAGTTACATACTCCAGCTTTAAAGTTACATATCCCAGCTTTAAAGTTACATACTTCAGCTTTAAAGTTACATATCCCAGCTTTAAAGTTACATACCCCAGCTTTAAAGTTACATACTCCAGCTTTAAAGTTACATACCCCAGCTTTAAAGTTACATACCCCAGCTTTAAAGTTACATACCCCAGCTTTAAAGTTACATACCCCAGCTTTAAAGTTACATACCCCAGCTTTAAAGTTACATACCCCAGCTTTAAAGTTACATACCCCAGCTTTAAAGTTACATACTCCAGATTTAAAGTTACCCTAGCTTTAAAGTTACACACTCCAGCTTTAAAGTTACATACTCATACTCGGTTTGTTATTGAAGGACCTTTGATCAGTGTCACGTGACTATGAATGAATGATTGTCTGATAAATATGATCTCATTTGTGTTTTAAGGACATGTGCTTCACCTGTCCTCCAGAGGGCGCCACTGCAGTACAGGTGAAGCACTTCACACTTTACTTTCACTTTAGACTGGGAAAAGCACCGGGTTTTTCTCTCTTCAACAAAAGAAAAATGTAAGCTTTGTCTCTTTCTCTTTCTCACACACACACACCCAGACAGACAGACACACACACAAACACACACATATATACAGACACATATACACACAAACACAGAGACACATACACAAATACAGACATAGACACAAACACCCAGACATAAACACACACACACACAGAGACAAAGACACACACAGACATAGACACAAACACACAGACATACACACACATACAGAGACAAAGACACACACAGACATAGACACAAACACCCAGACACATACACACAGACACATATACACACACAAACACAGAGACATAGACACACCCAGACATAGACACAAACACCCAGACATACAGGCACATACATACAGATACAGACACAGACACACACACAGACACACACACACACAGACACTAAATGTACAGTATGAATAATGACTGATTCATTTATCTTGTGCTGCTCTTTCCTACTGCTCTGTAACTTGTGATCAGAATCAGAATCATTTTTATTGCCACGTAGTAACAGGAAGTCACAGACAGGAAATGTCTTTGGCTCTCGGTGCAACATTCAGAAAAGAGAGGTAAAGAATAGAGTTAGACTTAAAATGCAACACTGACATTTCCCCGCTGTGGGACCAATGAAGGATCTGTTAATATTCATCTTAAACACAGTTGTTTTGTTGCAGAGAGTCACAGCAGACGTCTCGACATGAACAGACCTGAAGGGGGCAGTGTTTTCATGGTGAGCTCAAACCACAGACTGTCAATATGAATTAACAAAGTCACGCCCATCTACAAACTATGTGACATCACTTCTGTTGCCGTCAACGGGCAGTTTCTAAATGTGAAAAAAACACATTTGTGCAACAGTGAGCTGCATCAGCTCCATTCATTTAACAAGTGCATTCAAAAGTCCACAGCGACTAAACTGGACACACACATACACGTTTTTGTTACCTGGTGGGTCCCTTTGACAGGGCCGTTCAGAATGGGACCCATAGACATAATCTTTTTTACTGGGACTACTTTAAGTAATACAAAACAGTCAATAGAAAACAAACAACTCTTTTAAAGGAATTTTATTTTTGATTTCTTTTTCGAATTGCAGTGATTCTATTTTTGACATAGAATTTAATGCCACTCCATGTCCGATGTCTAAGGTCATCTGGTGAGGCATTAATGCAGGCCAGGCCAGGCCAGGCCAGGCAGTGAGACTTCCCAGGGACTTTTCCAGTCTGTATGAAAGGCGTCATGGTCTTCTCCACAGCCTTCACCTCAGATGCAGACCATGGCTTTCTCTAACGTTCTAGGGAAGTACGACCACATTAGTCCTGACTAGAACCAGGAAGTACGACCACATTAGTCCTGACTAGAACCAGGAAGTACGACCACATTAGTCCTGACTAGAACCAGGAAGTACGACCACATTAGTCCTGACTAGAACCAGGAAGTACGACCACATTAGTCCAGTCCTCAGGTCTCTGCACTGGCTTCCTGTGGCTCAGAGAATAGACTTTAAAACAGCTCTGCTTGTTACAAGTCTCTCCATGGCCTCGCACCAAAATATATTAGTGACATGTTAGTCCCATATGAACCAGCCCGGACTCTGAGGAGCACAGGGACTGGACTCCTGCTGGGACTCTGAGGAGCACAGGGACTGGACTCCTGCTGGGACTCTGAGGAGCACAGGGACTGGACTCCTGCTGGGACTCTGAGGAGCACAGGGACTGGACTCCTGCTGGGACTCTGAGGAGCACAGGGACTGGACTCCTGCTGGGACTCTGAGGAGCACAGGGACTGGACTCCTGCTGGGACTCTGAGGAGCACAGGGACTGGACTCCTGCTGGGACTCTGAGGAGCACAGGGACTGGACTCCTGCTGGGACTCTGAGGAGCACAGGGACTGGACTCCTGCTGGGACTCTGAGGAGCACAGGGACTGGACTCCTGCTGGGACTCTGAGCTGTAACAAACTGGCCGTTCGTTACCTAACCCACACGCACTTTTGAACATGGCTAATTTGCACATATAAAGACATTACACACATATTCATTTAAGAATGTTTATTGAGAGGGCTGTGGTTGTCCGTGGGTCCGGTGTGGTGCGTTCCGGGTAGGGTACCGGTCCTGCGGAGGCAACATGTAATTAGAATTGGGCATAGTGCAATATGTGTAGCTTTAGAATTGGTAATGTTCAGTGTTTCATGCATGAGGTGAATGGTCGGGTGTCTGGGTGCGTGAATGTGTGTGTGAGCGCAGTTTGTTTACCTTGTCGTCTTGTGTCCAGGATAGCGGTGTCTGGCGAAAAGAGTCCGTGGGGAACGGAAGCCGCTAAAATCCGTTCCGGGCTGGACCAAAGGGGCAGAACAAGCGGGGGGAGGACTGCAGGGTTGTAACGGGTTTTAGGTCTTAGTTTTTTCCGATGAGTGGTTTGGGTTGGGATTGTGTATAGTGGGGTCTTTCTATGTCTTTGTATTGTGGTTGGGGTTTATATTAGAGGGTTGTAGAGGTTGTGAGAGCAAATGTGACATGTGGACACCTGCTTATCTTGAGTGGTTTTATCCAATTTAGAGGGAGGGTATTTAAAGAGTCTCATGCTCTCACTCTGGGTTGGGCTGCTGGATGAGCTACACTGATTGAGTCCTCCCATGCACTTTAATGCATTTGCACTTTATTATGGTGAGCTTTGCATTTTTGCACACAAAAAAAAGAAAATAAATTTGAAAAGTGGACCCTCCCTGGTGTTTGTGTGCCCACCACCGCCCGCTCGTGCCTCCCTGTTACAGGAGCACAGGGACTGGACTCCTGTTAGTGCCCAGAGTCTAGAGACTAAACATGGGGAGGCTGCTTTTCAGATTCATGCTGCTAAAATCTGGAACAGTCTTCCTGAAGATGTGAGACAGGCCTCCTCTCTGACAATGTTTAAAACCAGGTTAAAGACAGTTCTGTTTAGCTGTGCTACAACTGAGGGATTTTATATTTTATTTTTATCTTTCTTTTTAATGTTCTGTGATTATTTATGATTTTAATGCTTTCTTGTTTTGTTCAGCACTTTGTATTGCCTTGTGTATGATTTGTGCTATATAAATTGCCACGCCACGCCACATCATTTTGGCCGCTTTTGAGCCGGGACCCGCCCCCACTGGTCTTACCTGGCAAGCTGTGTTGGCCCACGTCGGCTTGTGGTCGCGGGCGTCCCATTCGTTTGGAGGCCTGCGTTCGGAGGGCCTGTGAACGTAGTCCTCTTTTGGATCTTTAGTGAGGGCACTTACCTGTCCGGCCAGAGGTCTCAACTCTGTCGAGGGTTGATCCGTGTCCTGGTTCGACCTTGGGATGTCGAGACCAACGGTTCAAGGCTCTGCTTGAGGACTGTCGGTTCCCCGACTGGGCCCGGCCTGAGATTGGGGTCGTTTCTTTGCCTGGGGTTGTTTGGAGTTTGTGACTCCGGGTCGTGGGTGGAGGTGGGGTTGTGTCTAATGTTGGCCACAGAGGGCAGCACAGTACTATTCCAGACTTCGCTTCTGTTCCCTGGGTCCCTCTGTTCCCTGGCCAGAGGTGTGACTAGGGGTTGTAGTTCCGTTAGAACAGAGACATGGAGCTTTTGATGTGTCTGCCTCCGTAGGGGGCCACATCTGGGCTTGGTCCGGATGAGATGTTTTCCTTTGTTTTGCCCAGACTCAGTGCCTCAATAAGGTGTCATCTCAGCAGGTTCTGACGCCTATCTTCAGGATGGAGGGTAGGATGTAGCACAGGGTCAGACTGTCTCCACGGCAACCCACGGAGGAGGCAGGGGTGTGGGTCCAGATCTTCTCCTACGTTTTTATTCTTCTTAGATGTTTTTATGTTTGAATAAGTCTCTTTGTCCTTCACAGAGATGCTGCATCTGTAACATTAGTATTACACAGAGTTAGAATGTCACTTTTTTTAGCCCAGAAATGGTTGAAAATGTAGATATTGTGGACGAGGCTAACTTCTGCTTTTTAAAGAAAGTAGTTGTATCATGAGTTTGATCTAAAACCTTCTGTTGTTTCAGATCCTCCTCTTGGCTCTCGTGACCAGCCAGAACCAGCCCCAGAGAGACTGTTGCCCCTGGTGTCCAGCAGGTAAAGACCATGTGTCCAGACCATACCCATGGTGTCTACTTTTTCCAAAGTAACAGAATACTGTATAAAATAAGAAGATAAACTTCATTGTCCCAAGGGAAATTTGCTGTAGGATACAGAGCTACATTGATCTGCATGACTGAAAATACATGTTTGTGGTTCAGTGAGAGGGGGAGGGGCCTGGGTCCTGCTCAGTGTGAATGAGGCTCTTGTGTTTCAGAGGCGTTGGTGAAGAACAACTGCTCAAAGTTCCGCTGTATCTCCTGTGAACCATGTCCTGATGGTACCAACCAGGATGAGCTCATGTTCATACCACTGGGAAAAGAGAGAACATGTGTGCGCTGCCGCACGTGTGCTACAGGTGAGAGACCAGGACTGACGTGTGCTCTCTGGTCTCCCTCTGGTCTCCCTCTCTGGTCTCTCTCTGGTCTCCCTCTCTGGTCTCTCTCTCTGGTCTCTCCCTCTGGTCTCTCCCTCTGGTCTCTCTCTCTGGTCTCCCTCTGGTCTCTCCCTCTGGTCTCCCTCTGGTCTCTCCCTCTGGTCTCTCCCGCTGGTCTCTCACTCTGGTCTCTCCCTCTGGTCTCTCTCTCTGGTCTCTCACTCTGGTCTCTCCCTCTGGTCTCCCTCTGGTCTCAGTTGTGTGTTTGTGGTCAGGGCCTGGTCTGAAGGTGAAGACCCCGTGCTCCAGAACCTCTAACACTGTGTGTGAACCAGACGAGGGACACTTCTGTCTGAGGCTCCTGGAGGACTTCAGCTGTGGGGCCTCACAGAGACACAGGCGCTGTCTGCCAGGAGAGTACATAAGGAAACCAGGTCAGACACACACACACATACACACACACACACACACACACACACAGACACACAAAGACACACACACACAGAGACAGAGACATATTGTAGTGGAAATTTAAATACTTCAATGAATGGATCCGAGAGAAAACAGCTTGTCTTTGTGCAATTTATTTTAAAGGTGACGAGAATAACAAATACAATAATACTCTGCAGAGTGAGACAGAAGCGACGCACTCAAAGCCTGCGTCGTCTCTCTCTGGTCTCTCTCTCTGGTCTCTCTCTGGTCTCTCTCTGGTCTCTCTCTCTGGTCTCTCTCTGGTCTCTCTCTGGTCTCTCTCTGGTCTCTCTCTCTGGTCTCTCTCTGGTCTCTCTCTCTGGTCTCTCTCTGGCCTCTCTCTGGTCTCTCTCTCTGGTCTCTCTCTGGTCTCTCTCTGGTCTCTCTCTGGTCTCCCTCTGGTCTCTCTCTGGTCTCTCTCTGGTCTCTCTCTCTGGTCTCTCTCTGGTCTCTCTCTGGTCTCTCTCTCTGGTCTCTCTCTGGTCTCTCTCTGGTCTCTCTCTGGTCTCTCTCTGGTCTCTCTCTGGTCTCCCTCTGGTCTCTCTCTGGTCTCTCTCTCTGGTCTCTCTCTGGTCTCTCTCTGGTCTCTCTCTCTGGTCTCTCTCTGGTCTCTCTCTGGTCTCTCTCTGGTCTCTCTCTGGTCTCTCTCTGGTCTCTCTCTGGTCTCTCTCTGGTCTCTCTCTGGTCTCTCTCTCTGGTCTCTCTCTCTGGTCTCTCTCTCTGGTCTCTCTCTGGTCTCTCTCTCTCTGGTCTCTCTCTGGTCTCTCTCTGGTCTCTCTCTGGTCTCTCTCTGGTCTCTCTCTGGTCTCTCTCTGGTCTCTCTCTGGTCTCTCTCTGGTCTCTCTCTTGGTCTCTCTCTCTGGTCTCTCTCTGGTCTCTCTCTGGTCTCTCTCTGGTCTCTCTCTGGTCTCTCTCTGGTCTCTCTCTGGTCTCTCTCTGGTCTCTCTCTGGTCTCTCTCTGGTCTCTCTCTGGTCTCTCTCTGGTCTCTCTCTGGTCTCTCTCTGGTCTCTCTCTCTGGTCTCTCTCTCTGGTCTCTCTCTGGTCTCTCTCTGGTCTCTCTCTGGTCTCTCTCTGGTCTCTCTCTGGTCTCTCTCTCTGGTCTCTCTCTGGTCTCTCTCTGGTCTCTCTCTGGTCTCTCTCTGGTCTCTCTCTGGTCTCTCTCTGGTCTCTCTCTGGTCTCTCTCTCTGGTCTCTCTCTCTGGTCTCTCTCTGGTCTCTCTCTGGTCTCTCTCTGGTCTCTCTCTCTGGTCTGCTCACATCTAACATTTGATAATATAGTCCTGCGAAAAGCTAGAACAAAGAACAAGACATGCCACAGTGGGGGTAAGGTGGGTTGAGTTATGCAGGAAGACGAGGTAAAAGAAGGGAGAGGAAAAGAATGATAGTGCACCTGTCATAACATTAAACATTATAACGATCAAAGGAGTGGCACATGGTACCATCGCCTTTGCGAAGGTCATGTGAAAGTGAAGGCCTCTTTGTACAAGACAGGCGGCCTTTGTCTGCAAATGTATCAGTGAATTTTAGTACAATATATTCTAATATATGAAACTCGCCACAACAATCCTCCCTATTGATTATCTTAAATCAATCATACACATGCTATTGAGTACTAAGAAATAAAGTAAAATATAACACAAACCCCGAAACATCAAAATGTTCACACCTAGTAGGTTTAAGAAAATCCATCATAAATGGGTTAAACCTACAAACCAATTCATTCAAAACCATCAAGTAACATCTCACTAAATGGATCACTGTCCCCATCAGGACAGTCAACATGCAGGTTAAGAGAAGTGTGTTGAACGCGTGTCGACGAGACCATACGTCGGATCAACGAACGAATCAAAGGAATGACACAAGATGACATCACTATCAGCAACACTAATATAACTCCAAGTCCAGTACCTATTTGAATCAACCATGCTCGCCAGTCTGAAAACCATGAAGCATCTAGAACGAAATCACGGTTAACCGCATCGCGCAAAGTAGTCAGATTTTGTATACCCTGTGCAATGATCCCATCATCGGCACTGTTATCAGGAATATAAGTACAACAAGCGGTCTGATTAAGTAAAACACAAACACCTCCACTTGAAGCAACCAAATGATCCAAAACAATCCTGTTTTGTAAAGCAACGGCACGCAACGCATTCACTTCAACTCTGTTGGCCTCTAGAATAGTTACAGTTGAATTCACAAAACTTGAAAACCGATAATTTAAAGTTTCCATTCTAAGCATAACCTTCCCTACACCAAGCTGAGGGAACAAAGAGAGAATTACTTTTGTTGGCTTAGTCCACAGTTTGTGATCGTCTGGAACATCCGTTCCCCAAACTGCATCATGAGCAGCAAAATCGCGCTTACCTCGCGATCTAGGAATGGCAGAGATGATGTAAGAGTGATCTGAAGCTATCATCAGAGCACAACGACCTATCCAATTAAATGGTAGCTTCACATAGACATTGAAGCCACACAGCCACAAAACACCCTTCAGAGGAAGAGTTCCTGTTTGGTCAGGAACTGTGAAATATGGAGAACATGTACTACCTGGAGCGGCCTGAGAAGTGTTTAAACTTGAATTACCATGAAAAGAAGTACACGGACTAGACACATTTAAACAAAATGACATTGGGATCCGTCCCATCTGTATAGGAGAATCTGTAAAGGTCATGGATAGAGTATAACATACAAATTTAGTACCAGGTCTGATATGTACCGGACCAAAAATGGGACCTTTTTCATCATTAACCCTTTAAGCGCCAAAGTCGCAATATTGCGACAAGCAACATTGCTCACTTAAACAGGCTGTATGTAAAAATGTGGTGCAGAATCTTGTTAATACTTTTCACCAGGGGTTAGTGGACATGTGTGCCTGTAATATGAGCAACATTTGTGGGTGTGGTTATATTGAAAGTTTTTGAGTAAATTGAGTTCGTAAAACACCTGCGGCGCAGCGGCGCGGAGGCGAAGCAGCAGCGGTAGGACTGAGAGGAGCGAGAGCAGAGCAGAGGGAGAGAGTGTTTTTTATTTTACTCACGAGGTCTTCAGTACCAGAGAAGTACTTGGTCTGGTACTGGCTCACTCAGATTCAGAGGAGGAAGACACACAGGTGTCCAGTGAAGCAGACACGGACATTATTGGTGACGGGGAGACCGCGCTCCATAGTCCACAATCAGCCCCTGTGCAGCGGCTGCTTGTCCTCCGTGTGGCCGCTGTAGAAGCATTCTGTGAACGCCAAGCAGGGGCCGTGGTCGAGGGGACAGGGGCATCATAACACCGGGCATGTGGAAGAAAGTAGCGGGGGTAGACATCCACGGGGAACGCGGGAGACGCGGGAGAAGTCGCGGGAGAGCCGCGGGAAAAAAACACATCGCTAATCGCGTTCACTGTCTTTACCAGCAGCGACGATGAGGATGAAGGCAGTTCTTGAGAGAAAATAATCCACAAAAGTGGATCAGAAGTGTTGAAGAGCCTGTTGTATGTTGTTGAGACGATCTGACAAGTTCTGAGCCCATTCATTTCATCTCTCTGTTTCTAAACGATAAATCCTGGAGCCTCATTTCCACTGAGAAAAATAGTAAGCCCACTACTTCTCTGAAAGGGAAATATTGAAACCAATCTCAAGATTTCATGACTGTAAACTATAAAGAGTGCTGTCTTGATCACTGAAGGTCTTTGAAAATAATACAATTCCATATGGCCAATAATACAATTCCATATGGCCGCGAACCAGTGCTAAAACATTATCTATAATCTGGATCAGGGAATTTATTTCTATCCCAAATTCATTTCATACTAAAGATATGTCACATTGACTGTTTATAGTATTCCCTGATCTCAAATAACTCCCAAGCTACAGCTTTTTGAAGTCTTTATACAATAATTAACATTTTCCAAAATGGCCGCCACCTTGATGACGTCACAATATGCAAATTAGATGACGAATCAACTTCCATCCCAAAGTTTGGTTCAAACTGAAGATATTTCTAATTTACAGTATGCCTTTATCTCAAACCATTTTAAAGTTATAGCCTTTTGAAATCTTGAAATCAAAATTGTATATTTTCTTGAAAAAAGTCAATGAATTCTATCAAAAATGTGTAGAAGAGTTGAGTCCAGAGCTCCTACTAACATTTAACAACATTATTTCTTCAGGTAAGCTTCCTAACTCAATGTCCGAATCTGTTATCACACTTTTTCATAAAAAGTACAAAGACCCTTTGGAATGCAACAACTATAGACCAATTAGCCTTTTGTGCTGTGATGGGAAATTATTTACAAAAATATTAGCAAACAGAATGAACGAAATCTTATTAGAACTCATACACCCTGACCAAGTGGAGTTTGTAAAAGGAAGTAAATCCTCAGACAGTATGAGGAGACTTCTCCACTTAATCTGGAAGGCCAAAGATCTG